ATATATATATATATTAAATGTCAATGATTCTTATTAAATTTTAATTTTAAATCATCTTACCTCATGTTATTATAAGTTCTCGTGCTCACTATAGATAAAAAAAATAGTTAACCTTTTTATTTAATATTATACTAGGGAAATGAGAGACATTTTATTCCTCTCTAAATTTTTGTTTCAAATAAAAATAAAATAGAAGAGTTTTGTTTGAGTTTTTTTATATGGCATTTTTTAGATTGTTAGATTTGTCCTTGGTACTTGGATCAATTTTACTAGCTTTGATCATTTACATAGAAGGAAATTGAAAAGGCAAATTAACGTTTTGTTGCCGGTTGTTTAATGTTTTATATATACACATTTTTTGGCTGAAAGGATACCTTGGTACAATGTTTGTTTGAATATTGTTCTGTTAGATAATTTGAAACTTGTTGTTAGTCTCGCTAAAACAGGGAAATATTCCTTCTTGCTAAAAGAGGAAATCTTCCTCGTGCATATGAATTATGTCTAAGGTGAGTTCTTGTTTTTAAACATAACTAGACATGGACTGTATTTGATTTATCGAAACTTGTAATTTTTATCCTATATTTTAAGAGTATCTTCAATGGAAGCAACTCATTCGAGTTACTTCATGCATTGAAAAATGAAAAAAATAGTCCTTAGTGTGCCATGTCAGTATTAAGCAAATCAAACACAAATTTACTCCAATAGTAAGAAACTTTAAGAAATTCAACTTTTAAAATTTTTTTATAATTATTTATGAACTAATTTTAAATTTTTATTAAAAAGGATAATTGCACTACAACGAAAGAAAATAAATCATGAGAAAAAATATACAATAAGTAGTTATTAAAAGTAAAATAAAGCAATAGTAAATACATAGACATTATACGAAAATAATTTTCATCATTATTATTTCCGAGGCGTTCTCAAATATGTTCAATAATATATGCTTGAAATCTGGTTAGGAACGGTTGCTTGAGGAAGCAACTCTCTCTCTTCTTCAAGCAACTCATGTTACCACGTCAGAGTCCTCCAATGGCAAGAAATCGGGGCTTGAGTTGCTTCATGGAACAAGTCCCGGTAATATTGTAATTATTATTTTTTATATTTCAATTCTTTAGTCTATTGATTAATTAATTAATTTAAATTAATTCTAAATGAATAATATTAATTTATATTAAACTATTTTTATTTGTTGGTGGATTTTTGTTGATTCTAAAATCATTTGTTGGATCTTTTTACCCTTAACAACCTTATTTTAGTTAAACCATTTTCATTTTCTTATTTGAAACATAATCAATTTCTTTGTCATAATCACATATTGGAAAATACACGATGAAATGCAAATGATTAACATTTGAAGCCTTGATTTTGATCACATATTGTCATGTTAAGACAATTTTATAATTAACCTTTTAACAAAGTTTTGAACAAATCGAACTAATCTCTAAGTATTGTAAAGAAAGGTTAATGAATAAGTCATGATTTTACTAAAAGTAATTATAAAGAAAAAATCACTAGTACAAAAGGGGTCATTAACATCGGATATTTTAAGGATTTTACGTCAGAAACGGCTCTGATGTTAATGCGGGAGACGTAAATTTACGTCGGCTGTGACAAGTAATGTAAATTTACGTCGGACATGCAAAAATTTACGTTAGACACCATGTCCGACGTAAATTTATGTCAGTCAGTGTTTGGTCTGACGTAAATTTACGTCGGACATGGTGTAGTTCGACATAAATTCTTGCATTTTTTAAAATTTTTTTTATTGTTTTTTGATACACCCAAAATTTGCATACACTCCAAAATACAAAACCTAACTCAGGCAGTCCAGAATACAAATTCAAATTATATTTCAAAATTGAATGACAAAAGGAAAATAATATATAAACCTTAAAAAGCATAAATTATGACAATGTAAACCCTATTACCCTAAAAAAGCTATAAAACATATGTTTGTCAATGCTATCAAACTAGAAACATAATATCTAACTAACTAAACTTAGAAATCTAACTATTATATACTTTGAAGAAAAAAAGTTGTCAACTGTTCTCTTATCTTGATGATTTCATCTTCGGGCAATGGAGATGGATCTTGAAAGACCTGAAACATTAATTTAAGTGTCATTAATATGCAATGTTAATTATCGTAAAGGTAAATATACTTAAATAAATTTTGATATGAATTACCTGCGCCCAAGAATCAGTAATACCCGTAGAAACTATGGTTCTCATCCAATACATGATGTAATAGCCACATTCAAACGAGTCTTGTTACTTATGACACTAAAATGAGAAACAAA